TTATTTGCATTTCCAGCCCTCAGCACACCATCTGGGACAGAGAAACATGTAATAAATGCATCTTGATTGACTGAATATCAATAATCATAATTATACTATATTGAATTTGCATAATAATGACATTACTATATTACTTTCCAAGCACTTGGCATATATAGGTTGTCTTACTGGAGCCTTGCCACAACCCTATGATGCAGGCACTACAGTTCTTATTATCCTATTTCAGAGATGAGGAAACTGAGTCTTATCAAGGTGTAGTGATTCACTCACAGTCACCCAGATAAGCTCATTTAAGCCCATTTCTCCTGGACAATAAGTCCAAGCCTGTGGCCTCTGCTCAGCACTGCCTAGCATATTTAGATAACTGTTGGATTGTCCTTGACCAGTGAAGTGAACGAGGAGTTTGTAGGAAAAGCCTGTTCGTGACCCCTGGGTGTCTTATGGCTAAGTAACATGGGACATGTGACTCCAATTGTTTACACATCCTTCCATCTTCTTCCTGCTGGCTTTGACTTTGTCAGCAGAATGAGGAAACAAGATTGATAGTTTGAGGTTGAGCCTGTGGTGTTCCACTAATCCAGTCATTCACAGCCATGGTCAGTTATAGAATAAATCTCTCTTTTTTTCTGGATTTTTGCATAATATTTAGGATTTATTGACTTGCTGTGGTTATCAGCTTCCCAGCTTTTATTTTTGGTGTGTCTTCACTTACCTTTAAGTGTGTGTGTGTGTGTGTGTGTGTGTGTGTGTGTGTGTATGATCTGAAGAGAGGATAAAAATTTTATCCTGCAAAATACGGAATCATTTCTCTTTCATGGCCTTTACCTTAGCATGGAGTTTCTTCAGTCAAGTGGTGGAGGTGATGCCTGGCCTCCATCAAAAAATGGGATGGGAATGTTCCAGGTTAATAAGCATAACATTAACTCAAAGAGAAGAAAGCAACCTGGGGGCACCAACTAATGGAAACCAACCTTTCCCAAAGATTTATGTCCTGGACTGCATCGTCGTCTTCTTGGAGGACTAGTGTTCTTTGAAATTGCCAGGGAATTTCCTTGCTTCCCTGACAAATTTGAATCACTTATTCAAATCTAAGGAAACTGCTTATTATTACTCCTCTGGGCCAGAGTTGCCCCATCGTTAAATAAGGGGTTGGATTGGATTACCTCCAAGACATCCCTTCCAGCCCTGGATCTAAGGTCAGATCTGTGATTGAAGTGAAGCAAAATCAGAGAAAGTCAGAGTTGGGAGTGTTCCCAGCAGTCAAGGAGCTTAACTCCAGCATGAATGGGAGACCCCTCTACAACATCCAACCTTTGTCTGAAAGCTTTTAGCAAGACGGAACCTGGCATTTCCTGAGGAATCCTATCCCACTCTTGTTTGGCCCTAAAGGGTAGGAAGGCTAGAGTTTTGTTTTCCTTACACTGAACCAAATGCGAGTAGTTGTCTAAGACTCCCTGCACACACGGACACGGTGAAAGGCACGAAACCCTCTGGAACGTCCCACCTTTGTTCGTGGTTCTACTCTATGGGTCTGAGCAGAAGTCTATTGGAAGCGGATAAAGATCGCTCTTCAGATATGTGAAGCTGGCTCGTACGTTCCACTTAAGCCTTCTGTTCTCCAGGGTCAGCTCCCCATTTCCTTCCATAGGTTTTCAAACCAACTGAACTAAATACCCTTCCCCATGATGCTTCCTCTGGACTCTTTCTGGTTGATAATAATATTCATAAACTATGGTTTCTAGAATGGAACTCAATACTTCAGATGTTGTGTCTGTACATCTGGACAGGGCAGGGGACGAGGGGACCAGCACCTCCCATCACTTAATGCCAGCTAAGATGGCATCTACTTTGTTGCCTACTCCGTCATACTGTTGACTCATTTGGAGTCTTGCAGTCCATTCAAAGCCGCTGAAGGAAGCAAGGGACAAAAGGGAGAAAACAGATAGTAACAGTGTACAGTCATGTTTTCCAACTCTCACATCTCAATCTGTTAAGACTGTCAAAGAAGGAGGGGGAAAAAGGCTTCTCTTTGTAAACTCTTCTTCTCTGGATGAACAAAAGAAACCCTCTTTTACTAATTCTGAAAGTAACTCATCCCAGCAGGGTTCGTAGGCCTAGTCAAATAATTGTCTTAGTATATCGCCTGCTGTGCCCAATATTGAGTGCAAATGGAAGCTAGGCCCCTGAACTATCTTATTTCGCAATTCCTCTGTTATTTAAATAATTCGAACTGGTTTGGGGGACGCCAGACCTTTCTAAATTAACAGCAGGGAAATACCAAAGGTGTCAGATTGCATATTTATCATCTTTTTTGTGTAACACTTAAATATGTATTAAGAAGTGACTGACATAAATTAGGCAGATTTCAGAAGCCACAGGCCGGAGCTTGTCGAGGACCCCCTTCTGCTTGACATTTCATCCTTGTCAAAGATCAAATTATTTTAATTTAGGCTGCAAATTATAAGGAATGAAGACTTCTTTGTGGGAATTCCCTGTGGTAATCTGACTTTTGTTGTTACTGCTGCTTGTCAGTGTGCAAAAGATATAATATGCATGCAAATAAGGTTAAAAAATATGTACTATCTAATTATCCAGCCAGTACATTCCACTTGAAGACAGTGGGAGGCCTGACACACAGTATGTGTTTGATTCTTTGAGGCCTGCAGGGTATTTACACAAGATTACTTTTAATTATGAAATTAATATCTGTTTATCTAGAATGTATAGCAGTAAGTGAGGATACGCACGAGAAGAATTTTTTTTAGTAAAATAAATCATCTTAATTTAATACATAAAAAGGGGGAAAAAATCACTTGGCCTCTGAAAAAGACCTGCAAAGACCTTGCTTTCACCCCTGTTGCAACAAATGGAATGAAAACTTGGCACTTTCTCGCTTGTCTGTTTCCACCACTGCGAAGGGGGTCTGCAATGTGTTGTTCTAGCCTCCAGTTTTTGGTTTAGGAGCATGATGGGATTGCTGCATTCCTTTTGTATGGCAGAGTGGAAGGAAAAGGAACGTTTGAACATTAAGGGCAGCTGCTTTCTTTCTTCAGGTTTAACCAGGAGTTTTGTTTTTGTTTTTTGTTTTTTGTTTTCTTTTTTTTAGAAATTAAGATAAGCCAGTAGCATCACACCAGTGAGATGGGATATTTTCAGGGGATATCACCTCTCTCAGTTCTTAGCAAAGAAGAATTCCCAAAAAGTTATTTACCAAGCAAAACATTATCTATCAAAACTAAGATTTCCCACTGATTTACATTGAATAAATGGAGAATAATTCTTGAGGGGTCAGAAATCCTTGAACTGCTCCACTTCAAGTACCAAACAAGTACAAAACAACTACTTGACCAAGCCATTGACTTTGCCCAGTTCCATTGCAAGGATAGATAAGGTTCCCTGAAAGGTAGTGGGTGCTAATCAGAAGGGATAGTAGGTAGCAGGGGAGAAGAGCTGGGTGTGAACTAGGGCTCCATGGCACTTAAGCAAGTCATTTCCCAACTCTGGCCTCAGTTTCTTTCTTATAAAATCTTGGAATTGAACCAGATGATTTCTAATATCCTTTTCAACTTTATATCTTTTGATCCTTAATTCCGCCTACTTTACCTTTAGAAGTTCTTAACTTGGGGTCTGTGAACATGTTAGATGGATAGAAGGATAGCTAAATAGATAGATAGATAGACAAACAGATAGAGAGATAGATAGATAGATAGATATAGAGAGATAAGTGATAGGTGGACAGACAGATGGACAGATGGACAGACAGACAGACAGATAGACAGAAAAACTAATAGAATGAAAATAGAATTACTTTAATATAATTGGTTTCCCTTGTCATGGTAGCATTTGATTTTCTGCATTTACTATTGCCCTTCTGAGAAGGCACCCATAGGTTTCACTCACCCACCAGAAAGGTACAGGGCATGCAAAAGAAAACTAGGAACCTAAGTTGGCCTTGCCCCTTCTCTTAGCCAGTCCCTGTCCTTTACCTTCTTCAATGCTCTGATAAGAATGTTTTTAAGAGGCCTTTCTTGCTCTGCCCAATTAATTCCAAGCTGCCTGAATTAATTTATTTTAGGCATATGCTGTTTTAAAACTATTCTTAACTCATATTCATGACTTTGATTTCTCCTTCATGCTCTTCCCTCTGCCTAAGACATACCATCTACCTCCTCCTCCTCCTCCTCCTTACTCTATATCTCCAGGGGACTAAGTCCCAATCTACTCCACCACAAGCACCTCCATGCAGTCCTCCTGATACTGCCAGTGAAAAGGGTTTCAATCATCATGGCACCTTGTGTTGGTCCCTCTAAAATTCTGAGTGCACACACCCTATTCATTATTTGTCTCTGTTTTATTTCTCCGACTACAATGTAAGCTCTTGGAGGCCATACCTTGATCCTCCTTCTTGTATCTCACACTGTGTTTAGCCCCGTGCCTTGTTACTTACTACATGCTCAGAAAAAGTCTGTTGAAGGGATGAATGAATGAATATGTCAATCTCTAATGAGATTGTAAGCTCCTTGAGAACTTCGTGTGAATCATCTTCCTTGCACCCCTTTCTTTTCTGCTCTGAATATAATAGATGTTTAGCAAATGCTACTGATGAAAACTAGGTGATACTTCCTAAAGGCAAAAAGGCTATAATGGCCAGGTCATCTAGACATTGAATTTCTTATAAAAGTAGAGTTAGTAGTCATGACTGAAAGGGTGATTGGATAGGGAGAGGAGACAGGTCAATAGACAGCCAGATTTTAGTAATTTGATTCAAAGAAATTTGATCTCAAAACTCAAGTGATCCTTTTTAAATTCACATTTAGGATAATCAGTTGGTCTTGAAAGATTGACTCTGAAATGCGAAATAATGGATGAAAATTGTCTCATTACCATAATGAAAACAGGATAGCAAGAGGAAAATAAACAAAGAATACAGATGGAAAATTCAGGCTTTTCTGTTTTGTTTCTTTTTTCTCCCTTTTCTCTTTGTCACTTTCTCTAATCAGTGTGATGGCGTGCAGCTAGACCTAATAAACATCTCGCTGGAAGGAATTGCTATTTTGAATATTCCCAGCATGCATGGAGGATCCAATCTTTGGGGAGAGACCAAGAAAAGACGCAGTCATCGCCGAACTGAAAAGAAGGGGTCAGACAAGAGAACAACTGTCACTGATGTTAAGGAGCTAAAGTTTGCAAGCCAAGGTAAGAGTTCCAAACTTCTTCTGAACCAATATGTAACTTATTAATGTGTCTGCATCACCAGCTTTTCTAATTGAGAAGTTTTGTATGCTTCGTAAGAAGTAACGTGTTCATGTTCACTTGAATCATTATATTGCCTGAATAGCATGTGTGATTATAGAACGTCACAATAGAAGTTTAGAACACGGTGCAAATTAGACTAAATCATTCATTTATTCTTTCTTCCCATTATTCTTCTGCTGTAAAACAACAGGGAATAATACTTCTCATCCCCCAGGGAGGTCACTTTTATGCGTTTATTTCTTGGATAATAAAATGTTGGCCTCTGCTATTAAAATGTTCTCCATATTCCTTGAACAAAGTAATCATTGGAAATTGAATGAACCTCAAGTAAAGAAAAACATTCGTCCACTATTTCTGTTGGCATCAGCTTAGATGCCTCATCCCAAGAATCTAGGGGAAACACTGATAAATCTATGAGGTGGGAAAGGACAGCGATAGTAATGGGAGAAAAAAAAAATGTTTTTTTTTCTGACTTTCTCCTAAGTTGGGGTAAAAATATGGAATCTCTACCTTATATGTTAGAATCTTGAAATATAACAAATATATATTAGGTGCAGGCTCGTGTAAACTTTCTTGTTCCTGACTCTCTAGGGTCACAAGGGAGCAAAGATCAAGGAGAAACTTGGGAAGGATAGAATTACACCAAGGACCCAGGGTCCCCTTCATGTCCCAATAAGGGAAGAATGCCTGGAGAGCTCCCAACTACAAGAGTTCTCTCTAGTGGACAGATAGCCACAGACTTGAGGCTGACCAAGAAATGAACAGAAAGGGCATTCTTCAAAGTAAAATTACTTAGAGTATAAAAGATAGGTTGGGTTGTTGTTTTTCAGTTTGAATATTGCCTTTGATGCTCAACCACAGTGCTGTGGGCTCTCTGTACTAAGGACGAACCTTGTTGTTGAGTCGTTTCGGTAATGCCTGATTTTGTGAGCCCACTGGGGTCAATGGCAAAGATTCTGGAGTAGTTTGCCATTCCTTCTCCAGATCATTTTACAGAAGGGAAAACTGAGGCAAACAGGGTGAAGTGACTTGCCCAGGGTCACCCAGCTAGTAAGTGTCTGAGGCTGGATTTGAACTCATGGAGATGAGTCTTCCTGATTCCAAGCCCAGTACTCTATCCACTTCACCACCTAGCTGCCCAAGGGTAGTCCTTAGAAGGATTCATTTTCCTCTCCGCATGTGTTAATGACTCTGGAGCTGATGCAGCACACTCCTGGAGCTTGGAATCTCTGCAGTGGGGCCTTCTGAGGATAGTTGTCATCCCCCAGATTTGTTGTAGGGCTTTGCTTTGCTTTCCTTTACTTTGATTTTTATAGAAATTTTACATCACAATCATATCTAGAAATACACTCCAACCCCATCCTCCTCTCCCCCCAAAAATGAACCCTCCCTTGTAGTAAAGAAAAACAATCCTCAATCTGGTGAGTGGGTCTGATACTGCCCACAGCATTGTATTTTTGTGTGTACACAGTTGTCTGTGTGGTGTCTCCTCTACTTCGCTGGGATCTGCTCAAGAGCAGCGATTATTCCTGCCTCTTTTTGAGAGGGGTCATCCCCAGTCCTTAGCCCAATGCCTGGCCTGTTTTAGGGGCTTCCTCAATGCTTGCTGACTCACCCTGAGTTGCTCAGGCCCTTGTCGTGTCCCTTTTTAGGAGTGTACCCTGACATAAGACTGGAGATGCCTATTTGGAGAAGAGAACCCCAGCCCCCAGCTCTAATGCCGTTAACACTAAGGGAGCAGCTGTACATAGAGGCTGCCAAGGAAGAATGAGTTTGATTGTTTGTTTATTTGTTTGTTTTCCCATCTCCAAATGGGATGAGAGAGGCAGAAGCAGCCTCAGAAAAGCTCAGAATCAGGTCAGAACTGAACAGGAGACACGCTAGTTTTCACATCTCAGGCTCCATGCCTCATTCCCGGGTCGGGCCATTTGGACTTGTGATCCAAGGATACGTTTTACTTCAAGGAAAGTTGGCACATAGTACTGAATGTGGTCCCTGGAGGTGGGGAGGAGGCCAGCATGCTTCTAACCTGGGTCACTGTTATCTGGTTTATTACTAGAAATCAATATTTTCATTCAAACATACGTTTCTCCAGGGCATAGCAAACCGTGTGAACCCTCGCTCTGGGCTTTGGGTCTTTATTAATTTTTAGATTTACATTTGACATTAAGTTGTAGGTCACGTGCTCAATTCCCTTTGAAAGAGATGAACATGGGCTTGTCTGAAATGATACTTCCTCTCCCACCCCATTCCCATTGGCCCTAGCAGTCAGGCATTTTTAATGACAGTAATGTATGCAGTGGCCATCAATTATATCATGATTATATCCACCCCAGCCAGACTTTTGCATTTCAGGCCTAAGACTTTCTTAGTACTCACAGGCCACCCACACCCTAGTTCAGGCCCTCACCCACCTTATCTCCAATGTGGCCTTGACCTCTTCAGAGGTCTCTTTGGCACCAGTCCCTGTTCCCTTCTACTCCAGCTTCCACAAAACTGCCAAACGCTTTTTCCTAAGACCTCAGCATGTTTGTGTTGCTTTTGGGCTCAACAATATTCATCGGCTATCTGTAGCCTCCGATATAAAATACAAACTCCTTACCTTGAAATATTAAGTCTTCACACTGTCTCCACCCTATTTTCACAGACTGATCCCATGTTACTTCCCTTCACATGGTCTAAGCTCTGACAATTTTGAAAGTTGCCATTCCATTTTCTACCTCTGGGTTTTTGCAACCCTCCGCCCCCCACCCCTGCAACCCCTACCTGCCAGGGTTTGAATTCACTTCCTTCTCACCTTCACTCCTAGTATGTCTTCATTTGAAGTTCACCTTAGGAGTTGCCTATTAAAGGAAACCTTTCCTTCTCACTTTCATTGAAAGTAATCTCCCCTTCCTCAAACAGCCCTGTCCAAACTTAACTGTTTCCATGTTGTACTGTTGTACAGAGCAACACAATGTAAGCCCTTTGAGGTCAGTCCCTGTTTCTTTTTTTTTCTTTGCATTCCCAGGGGGCTAGCATATAAAGGTGTTTAATGAACACATGTTGGATTAGGCAGCCCAGAGCTTGACACAGACATAGCTTTTGTTCCAGGGAGGGGGTGGAGAAACAATCGTGTACCTCTTTCTAAGGCAATCTCTCCATTTGGCAATTAGAATAATCAAAGGAGAAAGAATTTATCTTATAAGTGTCTTCTTGCTCAAATTCAAATATTCTCTTCAGATGGGATTGGATCAACATTTCCTCCCATGTGATGTAAATACCAAAAGTAGATGTGACCCAGACACTCCTGAAGGAAGTATTCCCCATGCTTTAAAAAAAAAATACAAGATAAAATGAAAAAAAATCTAAAATATTTTTATCTGACCCCAAAATTTAATGTTGAGCTTCTTGCCTGGGTTCTCATTTTTTGGAGGACATTAATTTTGCCAACCAACAACCATTTATTAATCTCCTACCATGGCCCAGGAGCTATGGTAGGAAATTGAGAGTCAAAGACAAATGTGAAAACTGCCTTTAGGTGGGGCAAAGGAGCTTACATTTGATCCTGAAATCAATAGGCGCCACTGGAATTTATTGAGTAGGAACGGGGCATGATCAGTACTGCACTTTAGGAAAATCATTGTGATGGATTTGAGTCAAGGAGAGCCTTGAAGCAGGGAGACCAATGGCTGGTTTTGATTTCTCAGACTACGCAGTGGAGATTAGGAGAATGCGTCTGTGAACTCTGAAAGGATGAGGGTTAATTAATGTCTTTATAGTTTTATAAACTGAAGATACTGAACTTTGTTATCACCCAGAATAGAGCTCAATGGCATTTAACAGCTAAGAACATGACACTTCCTGGGCTGGTAGAAGATGGACTTATTCTAAATGTGATAGAAATGGACATTTGTTATCCATTATTACCAATTTTACTCAATGCTTTATGGGTTACTTGGGGTAATTTAGAAGGCAGTGTTCGAAATTAGCTAAATAGAACTGCAACATTCATTTTAGAGCTGAAGATGATGCATTTGGCATTCAAACACAGGCAAGCAGAACAATTTGCAAGCATTTAAATTCAGTGATTAAATTTAGAAGCATGAAAAGAATTGCATACTGTATTATTATACCTGGATGCAAAAATTATTGAGAGAAAAAAAGATTATAGCAGTTGGGTTGTCTCATTCCAAAAAAAAATAAAAAGTGTGTGCTGATACTGCATTAAGAACATGGCTTGGATATAAGTTGATCCAAATGTTTCCCATCACACAATCTTTAAAGGGAACTTTTCCCTTTTGTCTTCCCCCACCCCATCTGTGATATTTAAAATAGATCTCCACTGGAAATTATCAGTTCATCATATAAACGATAGTATGTTGTTAATAAAGCTAGCTGAATCTTAAAATGACTGTTTTACTATTGAAGACTACATTAGCCTACCCTCTTGGGTTTCTTTATATGACTCTTCCCAGCCCATCACCCCCAGAGGATTTCCAATAATTTCATTTAAATTGAAAAAAGACCTGAAGAGTAGGAGTTTAGAACAGACAAGATATTGGCCTTGTCTATAAAAAATGACAACTCGTTTTCAGAATCTAAAGTCAGATTGATCTTTATCACTTCAGATCCTCTATACAGAAACACAGATCATTGAAATTCAGAGTGGGAGGGGAATTTAGAGACCACCTAGTTTAACCTGAAAAGGAATCCTTGCCACAGTAGACATGTCATCCAGACCCCTTACTGTATGTCATTCAGTGAGGCAGACCTCCTTGCCTTTCCAGGACATGCTATCCTTTTGCTGGATATCTCCAGATGTTAGGAAGGCCCTCCTTGCACCAACCTTCCATTTACTTTTTATTTCTGTACCAATTGTTACTAGTTCTTCCTTCTTTGGCACCTACTATATCTACCATTCAAAGATATAACCTCTATATTGCGTCCCTGATTGTCAC